AGCTGAAAGCTGTAGTAGAAGCGAATCTATCTCAACCTATGCATGAATTTAGCAGCAAGGTTTGATATTCCTATTCCAACAATATTGGACCATTTGAAACAAATGGGCAAGGTAAAGAAGCTGGATAGATGGGTTCTGCATGAATTAAACAAGTGTCAGAAGAAAAAGCATCTGGAAGCTTGCCTTTCTTTGCTGTCACAATATACAGGCGAGCCATTTCTACACGGTATTGTTATATATGATGAAAAACGGAATCTTTTTGATGATTACAAGTGTTTGGCACAATGGTTGGATAAAGATGAAGTGCTGAACAACACAGTCCAAAACTGAATATTCATCACAAAAAGCTAATGGTGTTTGTTTGGTGGTGCAGCACTGCTATTATCCACTACAGCTTCATGAAACCTGGTCAATCGATTACAGCAGATGTCTACTACAACCAGTTAGATGACATGATGAGGACACTTGCGGTTAAGCAGTGGAGGTTGGTCAGTAGAGACAGGCCAGTCCTTTTGCAAGACAGCACTTGACCATGTGTCACACAGACAGTCCAGAGGCTGGACTTGGAAACTCTCTGTCATCTACTGTATTCACCAGACCTAGCACCAACTGACTACCACTTCTTCCAGGTTTGGGCCACTTCTTGCAAAGAAAAACGTTCAGTTCTCAACAAGCTATAGAAAATGCCTTTGGTGATTTCATCTCCACTGGCTCTCCAGGCTTCTTCACTGCTGGCATAAACAAACTACCATTGAGATGGCAAAACTGTGTTGATAGTCTAGGCACATACTTTGATTACTTGTACTGCTTCATGTTAGAAATATAATCTAAACTTTTGATTTGAAATCAGACATTTCATATTTAATGACCTAGTACAATTGGAACTATTCTCACTTCACTCTTCTCTTCTTCTAACTATATATCTCTACTAGTTCCACACAATTTTAATTATTAGTGGGAAGTACTGGTCATTATCATCTGTCCTGTTTTTTTGAAAAAATTTTATAGACTTGGCATGTTTCTTTTTTCCTAAATGAATGCACATAGAACACTTTTTCAAGTTCTTAAGTTAAAATTTATTCATATACTTGTTGGAGTTAAGTCACACTATACTTTTATAATACTTGTTTTCTGATCTGAGAAAATGGGCAATAGGCCCATTAATTCATGTGTTCTTTTTTCTGTTTCTGAGATGGTTTTTAAGATGGCTTTGTGTTTGTCAAGGGAGGCTTAAATAAATTGAGTTCAATTAGATTTTATCATATACCCAAATGAAAGAGGAATGAAGTCCAGGTTGTGTAACCAGTTAGGTTTATGTACCATCATTTGAAATACTGCAACATTATAAACATGGTTGACAGAATGTTCTGAAGTCATAACACTTATGTTTTATCTTTTGCTGGCGGCAAAGAAATTTTAACACTTACCTGAAGAACCTCTAGATTTGTAGATTTTAGGAGCCTGGATTATTCAATGTAAATATTAGTTAATGTTTACTATTTATGACCTGGTACTTGATTTCTAAGGATGAATACAATTAAAAAGTGTTTTATTATATATTGATTTATTAAGAATTAGACATTACAATTGAACTTTTCCCCATGGATTTATGCAAGTGGCACTGGTTTTTCTTCTGTGGTTTATAGAAGTGGCCAGCCAAGCCACTTGTTTTGTTTATTTCTGTGTGGTTGTAGTGGGCCTTAGGGAAGGAAGTCTTGTCTTTGGCAGAAAAAGCAAAAAGTGTTTATTCATTCCACTTATAACGTTGATCTAAGAGGAGCTTTTGAGGAAAACCAGAGTACTTAGATTTTGAACATAAATAGGGTCACTCCCATCCATGTCCTAATTGATACAGAAAAGTGAAAGATTAAGGATTAATATAATAGACAATGTGAAGTTCTATAGCAGAAGTTGAAAACTGATGGGTTGTCAACCAAATATAGCCTTCAGAGTATTTCATTTGGCCTACTATTTCTAAAACTTATATTGGATTAGTTGCTAAAATCTAAAATCTGTTTCACATGAATATCTAGTACTGGATCACCTGCATTTTTAGCATGGCATGTTAATAGCAGTGGCACCATTTAGATAAACGTACACGTTTGTTTGCCCTTAACACTTCTATCTATGATGGCTCCAGACAACCCCATGTGCATTTTTAAAGCCCTCGTTCTAGAGCCTCTTGAATACAGAAAGAATAATAGATCTAATAATGCTAATACAGCTGAATCTTCAACTTTGAGTTAATAGGAGATAATAGATGTGAGGATTTTAGGTAGTAAGAGTTTAGGTGGAATATGGGGTATGCAAGAAAGTAGTTGAAGAGGAATCTAAGGTTTTTAACCTGAGCAACTGGAAAGATACAGTTGTCATTAGCTGAGATGGGGAAGGCTGCAGGTAAGTCAGGTTTGTGGTGAGGTGAGTTTAGTTTTGTATATGTTGAATTTAAGGTGTCTGTTAGAACATACCATTGGAAATATTGAGTAGGTAATAGCTATATGAATGTGGAGTTGGAAAGGAATGTCTAGACTGGGCATATATGAGATGTTATAAAGTCACGAGACAGAATGAGATCACAAAAGGAGTAAGGGACTCAGGACTGAGCTCTGAACATGTCGGCTTTCAGGAGTTTGAGAGAAGAGGAGATTTAAGAAAGGAGATTAAGATGGACCATCCAGTGAGGTAGGGCAAAAAGAAAGGGAGTGTAGTATCCTGGGAGACAAGTGTCTTAACCTAGTTTCACCCTAGAAGCAGAGACTGAGACAGGGGTTTTCTTGCAGGCAATTTATTTGGGGACCTGTTAACATGAAAGAGAAGTTGGAGGATGGGGGCAAGTGAAACAGGAAGGAGGGAAAGTTGATCCAAGGTTGCATTATTGAGCTGGTCACTTCTGTAAGCAACTGGGGCTTGATCCTGAGGAAGCCCTCTGAAAAAACAAGAAGAATATACCTTTGGGTGGGAAGGTGGTATTTATCTACCAGGTGTCATCCCCCATTGATCAAGGGTTGCCCATGATGTTAACAGCTTCAAATTTCCAGGTTTGTATATCTCTCTGAATGGCTGAAGAGTTCCTGTAGGCATCTCTTATTGCAAAGCTGCAGAGCAGAAAGTGAGCCACAGATAGTACAGCCAAAGGGGGAAGTGTCTCTGCTGGAGTGAAAACAAGCCAGAAGAGGTGCCCTCCACAGCTCACCTGCTTATACCCTTCATTAAGTGTTGGCCATTAAGTCCAGCCTACTACAAAACTTTAAGGGTGGTGGCCTTAGTCTCTACAATAGATTTACAACAGGAGAGCTAGTAGAACAATGTTCATAGTTAACAGTCTTCCTCCAGTCATTCTAGATTTTTCCAATCTTCAGCTAGCACTTCAATAAATTGAGGCTTTTTCCTGATAGAGTGATCCAGACATTCTTCGCCATTGGATAGTGTCCTTATTTCTTTATCCTTTTTATGTCATAGTTGGTACAGCCACCTGTTTAGACTTATTACTGAGCATGGCAATACTAGTCAAATCCCCTTGGTTCTTGGTATATTCCCTCCTGTCCCCATAGTGAGCATCAGCTATAGGTCCTCATGGTTATTAGGGTCAGTTTACAACTGACCTCCCCATACCCACTGCCACATGGTAACTGCTTCCTTAGCTTGCTGGTCCAACGTATGGAGTCCAAGATGACCAGGTGATAATTATTGCTCCAGAATGCTGCAGAACCCCCCTTCCTGTGTCTCCTGGCAGAATCCCCTCTCTCCTCCTCCAGAATCAGGATGTCTAATCCAGTGGAGACACAGGATTAGACACATCATTTTTTTTCTTTTAAAATCTGTTGGAGACACAGCCCCACATTTCAGCCTTTGGAAGATAGTATGCTATCCACTCAAGATGTTACCTAGCACTTTTATACATAGAAAGTGTGTGTATGTTAAACCAGGTGTCTTGGGTCAAAGAATAAACAATTAGGGAAAGAAATTTTCACATAAAGGTGACTGGTTCCATTAGTCAAATGTTTCTTCTCATTCTCTATGTGAACTAAGCTAGTTTGTTATGGTGGCTATAGTTGCCCTTAGTTGCAAAGTTATAATATTTTTTATTTTTATTTATAGATTGATTAAGATAGCATCTTGCTCTGTTGCCTGGTGGAGTGGCATCATCATAGCTCACTGCATCCTCAAACTCCTGGGCTCAAGCAATTCTCCGACTCTGTCCCAAGTAGCTGTGACTACAGGCCGTGCCACCACACCCGGCTAATTTTTCTATTTTTTTTATAGAGAAAGGGCTTCCTTAGGCTGGTCTTGGACTCCTGGCCTCAAGGAGTCCTCTCACCTTCGCCTCCCAGAGTGCTAGTATTGCAGGTGTGAGCCACTGTGCTCTGCTGCAAAGGTATAATTCATTCTGAAGATTTTATTTTACCTGAAACTGCTTTAGGCTTAGAAATAAATAGTAAAACAGATCCTAGAGATTCACTTGAGTTTTGCCAAATGTGCCTCTGGCAAATAATAGGTTATTGTTGTGGAATAAAGATTTTAGTACCTAGAGTAAAACCAATTTTTAATACATTAAAACTGAATGAACTTAAACTGTGATAAGAATATGTAAATATGCTTCTTTTGATAATTTTAGACCCTTGTTATAAGAATATAGAGGAAGTACTAATTATCCTTCCCTTCTTATCCCTTGCTTCATAAGCTATGATGACAATTGTATACTTTTCTTGGTATACCTGTTAGTCTTCAAGTGTATTGAAGGTGACATCTAGGTTGTCTTATCATCTATTGATGTTTTCTAGGGCTTACCATGATGCCTCACTTTTAATAGGTCATCTATAAATAGTGGTTGAGTTAATCTAAGGAGATGTGTATTATATATTATATATTTAAAAAGAAATGTATGTGTGCATAAATTTGCATGTGATAGCATTCATGAACTTTGATGTTAACTGTAATAAAATCTTGTTTAAAGTATAATAATGTTTTAGACTTTCTTCCTTTTTTCTTTCTTTAAACAGACAGAAGGACAAAGGACAGAATCACCAGCACTGGCTGAAGGTAAATATGTCTTTGGGGGAAATGGTTATTCAAATATAAATGAAAAGTTGTGATTTAAATAAAAACCTACATTGACTAAATATAATTTAAGGAAAATGTTCTTTACTCAGTATTTAATTACTATAAATGTCTTTAGGACATATCTATTGTTTAGTTTCTGAATTACAATAGTAAATAGTGGGGAAAATGAATTAATTAGAACTTTTTTTTACAGCTTTCTTTCAATAGGAGAGGTATGTTTTTTCTTTGAATTCCTTTTTAAGTTATTTTAGCTATTCACCAATAGAGTTGATCAAGAAAGGTCTCAGCAGCTTAAAATATGGATATGTACATACATATTTTTGCATTGGAAACTAGAAGGGAAGATGCTTTATACATTATTTTAAATAAGAATTCTACCTGTTGATTTTGGTTCTTTTATTTAAATCTTAGAAGTAAGAAATACTTTTTCAAAAGTAGTTATTATGAAATGGTCCTGTGTTCTCAAACATTTGTAGTATTGCAATTATTTTAGTTATAACAAGCTAATAAGTATTTGAAAAGGTAACTTTTTTGTAGAAATATCTTGTGTTCTTCAGGTAAAAATGATCAGTTTAAAATCTCTTTCTGTGCTCTTCCTAGTCATAAACAGGGGATATTTACATCTCAAAACTAGCCTGTCATGTTAGTAGAGCTGATATAACAGTTATTACAACAGTCCTTTGGAATTATCATCGCCTCACCTACTTTGTATGTTACGGTGCAGGGGTTCTTGATCAGTTTTTGTGCCAAGGACCTTTTTGATAATCTGGTGAAGCCCATGAATCCCACTTCAGAATATGATTTTAATAATGACTCACGATTTTATGAAGTAAAATGCGTAGTATTAAAAAGGGGCTGGGTGTAGTGGCTCAGAGTGCCTGTAATCCCAGTACTTTGGGAAGCTGAGGCCAGATGGTCTCTTGAGGCTAGGAATTTGAGAGTAGTCTGGGCAACATAATGAGACCCCATCTCTAAAAAAATATAACTAAAAAAAGTTAGCGGTCATGGTGATGTATGCCCGTAGTCCCAGCTACTTGGGAGGATCTCTAGAGCTCAGGAGTTCCAGGCTGCAGTGAGCCATGATCACACCACTGCACTCCAGCCTGGGTGACAGAGTCAGTGAGAACCCTGTGTCTTAAAAAAAGGAAATGAGTTATTCTGAAGTACTGTTAAAAATATTAAAAATACAAATTTGTGATAGGGTAATATGTGTGTTTTCACACATTATTATACATGTTTCTCACAGAGAATAAATGTTAGCAAATCTGTTATTTATGGTAATTTTAAATAGTGATAAGTCTGTAACAATTGTAATATAATATGAAAATACCTGTGATTTCTATTAATGACAAATTCATAGGTATTTCTAGTACTATTGTGGTTTGTTGGCTATAATCTTGATTGAAAGAACTGCTAATTTTCATGTAGAGGTTAATGAAAAGGTTCCTATTTATATTCACAAATTGATGAATTCTCTGTTGACCCCAGATTAAGAACCTTGGTTAGTGAAAAGTCTGCTAGAATGACCTTTCTTCATCACACTTCAGTGTAGTTTTTTTATGTTCTATATATAACTAATCTTAAAGTAGTTAAATATCCATTCCTTACAAATAGGCTATTAGGCTAGAAGTTTGTGAAATAGCTTAGAAGCTTCTGTTTGCTGGTCAATAATAGCAGAAAATAAATGTTAAGCCAAGGAAGAGTTCCTCTCTTCAAAGAACTCACATTCTACTTAAAGGAATATGAAGTAAATATGTTTTAAAATCAGTATGAGATGCCAAACGTTTTTAACAAGAGAAATGTCATCATTGCCATAGGAAAGATACAAATAGTAAGTGTTCTGATGCCTGTGTTCTGGATGAACAAAAAAAGGTAAAGACTTGCAGAAAGTCACCAGGTGTTTTCAATTTCCATTAGCAGTATGAACTATACAGTGATAATGTGCCAGCCTAAGCTGGAAAGAGCCTGGAAGGTTGTCACTAAAATTGCAGTGCTTGTCCATCACCTGCTAGTTGACTATAAAATAAAGGGAATGGCAGGTCTGTTGAAGTTTGGTTGATAGCAGAAACAGCATTAACAATCATTTTGAAGGGGGCTTGGTAGGGTATCTGACTTTCATTTTTGTGTTTTTGGTTGTGGGGGTGGTGATACTTGATTCTTTCTCTCAATGTGATCTTGCTCTGATGCCATATTTTGAAAATGTTTTGAAAAGCTTCACCGCCAGGGTCAGTGGATTAAACCTCTTTTTTTTCTTTATTAATATGCTGCTTTGGCGCAAGTCACCAAGTTTATCTAGTCTTGGCTGGGCACGGTGGCTCACACCTGTAATCCTAGCACTCTGGGAGGCCAAGGCAGGCGGATCACTCAAGGTCAGTAGTTTGAGACCAGCCTGAGCAAGAGCGAGACCCTGTCTATACTAAAAATAGAAAGAAATTAACTGGCCAACATATAGAAAAAATTAGTCGGGCATGGTGGGGCATGCCTTGTAGTCCCAGCTACTCGGGAAGCTGAGGGAGGAGGATTGCTTGAGCCCAGGAGTTTGAGGTTGCTGTGAGCTAGGCTGACATCACGGCACTCTAGCCTGGGTAACAGAGTGAGACTCTGTCTCAAAAAAAAGAAAAAAAAAGTTTCTCTAGTCTTAAATTCCTTTTCATAAGATTAGAGAGTTAAGCTACATGATTTCAAGTCATTTTACAAACCCTTTTTTCTGGGCTCAGGGGTTTCCTATCCTTTCTCATCTCCTTTACTTCCTTCTCTTCTCCTTTCTCCCTCCCAGCAACTTTAGATGTATGGTAATGAAAGTTGTCAGAATCAAAATGGAGTCACTAATGTTAAGAAAGCCCTGCCACATAGAGCCAGGAAAGGCCCTGAAGAGAGGTTCTCATGCTTGTAAATGCTGATAAAGAAAAGACTCACTGGCTGGGCATGGTGGCTCACGCCTGTAATCTTAGCATTCTGGGAGGCCAGAGTGTGCGGGTCGTTTGAGCTCAGGAGTTCTAGACCAGCCTGAGCAAGAACAAGACCCCGTCTCTACTAAAAATAGAAAGAAATTAATTGGACAACTAAACATACATAGAAAAATAATTAGCTGGGCATGGTGGCGCATGCTTATAGTCCCAGCTACTCAGGAGGCTGAGGCAGGAGGATCGCTTGAGCCCTGGAGTTTGAGGTTGCTGTGAGCTAGGCTGACCCCACGGCACTCTAACCCGGGCAACAGTTGAGACTCTGTTTCAAAAGAAAAAGAAAAAGACTGTATAAAAACTACAACCTTGAACAAAGACTATTGCAACCTTACACAAAAAATACTTCTGCAAGGACATCTGCCCAGCAACTGTCTATCCAACCTCACACTGATGTCACCCTTGTTATTGATCTTTGTGGCCAAGGATAATGATTTGAAAACAATTATGTAATCCTTCTGATTTTTTTCCTTTAAAAATTTTTGTCTTCCTTTACCTCCCTGATAACACACCATAGTTTACTATGTCATGTATATTTGCATTGCAGTTCTTTATTCCTAAATAAACATCTTTTCCTTTAGAGAACCTTCCCTGTTTGTTATTAGGTTGACAGTAAAAATATTCAAAGTGGTTTAGTGATTTGAACTTTACCTTATATAAATATTTGCCTCATATGCTATGTAAAGTATCAAAGTTGTAGTAATTAGATTGGTGACTTAGTTCAAAAAGTTGATACACATACTGCATTTGGTCTTTATAAAGGTTTCAGAAATTCATTTAAAATAACATATTCCACAATACTCAAGAAAACAATAGGTTAGTTCGTATTCTTTATAAATCATCTCTTTAAAAAAATTAGCTTTTACAATGTCATTTATTTGGAGTGTAATGAGTGACCTCTGCTGGAGTCTGTTGAGCATAAGAGATACTAATTTAGGCGGGGCGGGTGGCTCACGCCTGTAATCCTAGCTCTGGAAGGAAACCAAAACAGAAATCAAATATACAACAAACAGAGAGATATCAACCTGCCCAGGTGCGCGCAAACAACCAACATAACACCCCGAACCGCGCACACCCTTAACACCCCCATCAGCGCGACCACCACCACCATATACAACAAATTAGCCCGGCGCATGCTGTGCATTGCCTGTATCCCAGCTACATCGGTCGAGTCTGAGGCATGAAGAACTCGCTCGAACCCCCCAGGAGTTTGATGGTTGCTGTGAGCTAGCGCTTGACATCCACCGGCACTCACTCCTAAAACAGCCTGGACCAAACAAAGCCGTAGACTGCCTGTCTCAACAAAAAAAAAAAAAAAAAAGAGAGATACTAATTTATACATGTAGAAAATTATTCAAGCATATATCTTATTAAAATTTATATCACCAAGAAGAGAAAGATATTTTTTATTTTTGTATTCTGTTTGGTTATGATAAGCCTGAAAGACCTATATTTAAGGGAATAATTTTAATTTAAGTTCATTTAAATGAAGTTCAAGAACAAGAGAAAGTTCAAGAACAAGAGAAACATTTGCACCCTTTTATAATTTCATTGTATTAAATTCCTTTGTGTGCATAGCTCAAACAGAAAGATCTGACAAACTATAGAGAACTTTTTAAGAACATTTCTTAGTTAGCATTTGTCTTTTTTACCTAATCATACTTTTTTCTTAAAAAATTTTTTTCCCCTGATTGAGCAGTTTTAGTACTAGTATTAAATGTCTTTCAAGAACACTTGGACTTTTTCTTAATTCTTCTTGGATGAATTGCATGTGCCATAGTATGTTAGACACAGTAAGATTTCATTTACTGACTTAACATTCATTTAGTACTTACAGCATGCAAGGGGGATCCTTTGGATACAAAAGTTAAGATCACACTCAGAGAAAAATGGTCCCAATGCCCTTAGTTCCTTTAGCCTGTAATGTTTAAGAAGGTCCTTGTTTTAAGTAGTTCCTAAAAAACCACTTCTAAACTTTTTTCACTTTTAGAAGCTAAATTGTTATAATTAGTAGACAGG